AGTTGAGCGTTTCTTTGTAGTGAACCAACCACCCCCTGTTTCCAATGCTTTCCTTTCTAACCGGTACCTCACTCTAATCCGAGGAGCTTCTTTGAGTTTTCATACACAATCCAAGTGATGCTCAGGGCGGGAGCAACCTTGAGGAGATTGGGAGTGAGGCCCTTGTACATGCCTCGCATGCCTTCGTTCTTCAACGTCTTGTGTGCGACGTCCCATATGCCCGTGTAAGTGGCGGGGTGCATTACCGTGCCTTGCGTCTGGAGACGGGTGCGCAGCACGTTCAGTGGGTACACCACCGATGCACCAAAGGCTCCGCTGGTGGCTCCGATAAGCCCAGTCATGATGTTTCCTGGCTTGACATCCTCCTCGTGGATGCCTCGGTACTTTGACATGTACCTCTTGTACGAAGTCTTGAGAAATTCAAATGTGCCCATGTCGATGGCACTGTAAGGGAACATGCCCATCAGGCCCATGGTGACACCGCGGTACGCACTGCGCATGCCACCCGCTTGCCACATCTTCTTGGCAGTATCAAGAACGAGTGCATTGCCGGTGAGGCCGCCTTGGACTGTTGATGTTTGGAGGCGGAACTTTAACGTGTCAAGCGGATACACACAGAATCTGAAAGCCTGCAGTCAGCAAACAAAGCCGGATATAACAATGAAACAGTGACAGCGACAAAAACCAGCACCAATGGGATGGAAACATTTGAGTTGGCAGGGATCGAGCAGCAACAATCGCGATTGAAACGGGCTAGACTTACTGGGCAACCATGCCGGCAACACCACCCGAAACAAATTTCGAGTACCCGTTGATCTGCTTGGGGTCGTCGTGGCCCTCGAGCTTAGCGAGAGTCCGCTTAGCGGCCTCATAAGATCCGAATTTGATGGCGCTCTCGGGCATGATTTTGATGACGTTGAGTCCATTGCCTTGACTCGGTCAGTAAATGCATCGGGCAAACAAACTTCAACGGCGATGCCCTGGGCCGAGAGATGACTCGGGCGCCGGCAGCATCGCCGCGACTGACAAATTTCTTACCTGCAAAAAGACTCCGAATGCCGCCCGCCTTCCACAGATCTTTAACGGCGTCTCCAAAGGGGCGGACGGCATTGCGAAGAGCATCCACTGGTCGCCCTTGCTTTAAGGCAGTGGCAGCCGTCTCGGTGGTGGCTCGCGTGTTGACCAGCAGGTACACCTTGAGACGATCGAGAGGGGCGGTGGCAGTTCGCGAAAGTCCTCCGGCGACGGCACCCGCGATGAAATAACCTGGATCAGGAGCGAAGTCAGTCAGTCTCTTGGTCTTGCGTTCAGCAGTTGCATCGCAGCTGGAGCCTTGCTCGGAGCCAGTGACCGGTTTCGCTTGGGAGGTGCCGACGCCGGGGAGTTTTCGGATGGTCGCGAGGCCGGTGAACTGTTCGTCTGCGGCCTTGGCACCGGCCTGGAGGACCGCCGCCGCCGCCATGTCGACGTCCACGCTGTCGGTGATGGTTGGGTGTTTTGATGTCGGTATTGACGGTATTGTCGCGGTAGGGTCTCTGAAGCTGCTTGGTGAAGTCTGCTGTGCTGGTTTTGATGAGGTAGGAATTTTCGAAATGTCAGGATTGTCCTCTTGGGAACGCACCATCTGGCCGTCCGTGTCGGTGAGGGGCTCGGCCGGAGTCTCACGATCCGAAGGTGATGCGATCCTCAAAATGGATCCAAAGAGGGTTTGCAGAAGGAAGCCGGTCGTACCTAAGCCTTCAAGTGTCTCCTCCGACACCATCGAATCACCCTCAGCCGTGAGAGTGACAATGGACGAATAAAAGTCCAACACTGCCTTGAGCGGCGCATGGCCATTGTGCGTTGGCATAAACAGGAGGAAGTCCCTATCGGAGATGCCTTGTTAGTGAACTGCTCCTCTACCAATTTTGCACAGATGGGATCTGGAAGGGACCATGATGCACGGCGTGTCGGCGAAGCGTCCTGAGATCTCGGTCTCCACCCTTCACCGAACTACACCGAGAACATCACAACCCCTGAGGCCCCGCCATCACATGGGACCAAATTTCGGTCATTTCCAGCCCATCATCTCTGACACGAAAAGGAGAACCCTTGAGGAAAGGGGAATCAGGCTCACCTCCATTCCTCGAAGCTGATGAAGCCGTCGTTGTTCATGTCGATGTCTCCGAAGAAGGCACTGAGCTTGCGCATCGGCACAACCAGCCCGGCCCGCCTGAAGGCCTCCTGCAGCTCAGTCTTGTCCAGCCGTCCATTGTTGTCCTTGTCTATTGACTGGAACAATATCATGAGCTGCCTCTCGGTCTGCTCGACGAAAGTGCGGAACTCTGGCATCAACACCCATTAGCACCTCTCCTCGACCCCCAAGACAGGGGAACCCAGCCAACGAGCTCCAGCCTCAGCTCAAAACTCCATTCGCAGCTCACCTTCGTATTGAATCTTGCCGTCGGCGTTGGTGTCGACGACGGTCATGATCCTCCGCAACATGTCCTCCGCATTCCTCATAGCTGCAGCGCGACATCAGTAACATCCCACACGGGAGCGTCGGACAAAGAAAGATGCTGACGGTGATCGATCCTGTTCAGGCCCTTTTGCAGCCCCTTGAAGTCGAGGTAGCCAGTGCCCTGGACATCCAATTGCTTCCAGAGCTCCTCCACGCGCTTATCGCGCTGGTTCTGCGATTCCTCCATGTCCATCTCGAGCTCGGCAACCCATTCTGTCACGCCCATGGCAGCAGCGGCATCAGGGCGCAGGGCAGTAGAGTCGGGGCTTCGGTTTCGATGCGGGAGTCATGGGGCGACGACGAGGGTTATCGGTAAGGTGAGTCGCTCGCGGGGGGTTCGGTATGTGTGTTTTGTCTCATTCAGACATGGCGGGTTGGGAAAGGTGTTGTCGCGACACTTGCATGCTGCAAGTCACAAGGACTGACGTAGGAGGGATCGTGAGGTGCGGCGTCGACCAAGAAAAAGTAGAACCCGCTCCCGCCTGCCGCAAGTGGTTCGCGCAGAAGCCACAGCGTCAAAAGCTCGGCAACATGGGGGGGTTCAGAGGGTGCCGGGGTCCCACAGGCGAGACAAGCGAGGCAATCAGCTGCCGCCAATTAGCAGTCCTGCCGGAGCTTTCAGTGCTCCAGAGCTTCTGTGGCTGCCCTGTTCAGTGACAGCGGCTTCCTTTATTCCCGTCTGCCCGTCCCGCGGCACATTCCATCTTATCGTTATCGGACGACGCGCACCGCCACACCAGACGTGGGAACTGCCACAACCTCTTGGTGTTCACCAGCCTCGCAACCATTCTCCAACTTCAACCTTCAGCCTTGCATTCCTCCGTACCAACCGGGCACCTCTGTCAACCGGCTGTACGGTGCAATTGAGACGCAAATCATGACATAGGGCTCGAATCGATACTGCTCCAGGTCGTCATGGCTGCCAATTACTGGGAGTCGACCCAGCGTCGCTTCTGGCTCTTCTCGAAAGACGACCTCGGTGCGGTGCGACAGAAGCTGGAAGACGACAATGCCGACCTCGTCCAGATGTTCTCCCTCCCGCAGCAGCGGCACCTGGGCGTCTACTTCAACCAACGTTTGTTCCCTCCCGCATTTATTCGCCGAGATTGTCTCGCTAACTCAAACCTCAGAGGTTAATCGCCTCGGTAAACGAATGGTTGTCCGTCAACAGGCCATGGCCACCGCCCAGGTCTACATTAAGCGCTTCTACACAAAGGTCGAAATTCGCCGAACGAACCCATACCTTGTCGTAGCAACCGCCCTCTACTTGGCTTGTAAGATGGAGGAGTGTCCACAGCATATTCGTTTGATTGTCAGCGAGGCGCGCTCGTTGTGGCCTGACTTTCTCGGACTCGACACCTCGAAGCTCGGCGAGTGCGAGTTCTTCATGATATCCGAGATGAGCTCCCAACTCATCGTCTACCAGCCATACCGCACCCTCAACAACTACCAGCAAGAGCTGGCTTTGACCCAGGAGGACGTTGCGCTGGGCTGGTCCATCATCAACGATCACTACATGACAGACCTTCCTCTTCTGTATCCACCACACACTATTGCCTTGACTGCAATCCTCCTCGTGTTGGTCCTCAGGCCGTCGTCCAGCATGTCAGGATCGAATCAGCCAACGGCGGCGGGCATTGCTGCTGCGAGTGCGGCCCTGGCCCAGGCCCAAGGCAGGGCTCCTGGACTGCCTCCGACCCCAGGCACCCCGAACTCCGCGGACAAGGAGAAGCAGCCGGATCTTAGGTTTGGTCGCGTGCAGCGTTACGGTGCCTGGTTGGCTGAGAGCAGTGTCGACATCGCCGCCATGGTTGACTGCACGCAGGAGCTTATTTCTTTCTACGAATGTCAAGAGCAATACAACGACAAGCTCACTCGCGAGCAGATCAATCGCTTCGTCAAGGCACGGGGGCTTGACAAGTGAAGCGAGCACAGCATCAGACTTGTTCATACAACCAATAGTGTGATACTCGAACAGGAGTGTTACTTGTAAGCATCGCCGTAGCTACATCGACGCAGATGGTATTGCTGTATGGATTTGCCAGACGACCTGTTAGGATGAAGGATATGTCTGTCCTGCAGCTGCGAATCCTGAGTTCGCAAAGCTTACTTGATCGAGACCAGTATGTTCAAAGCGCACGGCATCCGAAATTCGAGGCGCAATGGGTGTTACACGGGTCATCCAGAAACAGGTGGAATTAACGATTTGAACGAGACAACGAGGAATGAATAAGAGACGCATAGTTATACTACATAACGGCCCCCAATGCCATTGTCTGGCACTCTCATGATCTAGCTCTTGTCTATCTATTGAAGCTCAAGCGCAAAGGCGCACAAGAACATTCGGACAGCCGTATCGGCTCTGGTCGTGTCAGGGTACACCTCAAGGCCCGTTCTGCGATTTCATTTAGTCAACTCCAGTGGCAGCCCCCCGAAACCACTAACGGTGCGTACTACCGTCATCTTATCGCCACAAGTCTTTGGAAATTAAGACCATTCCTCACACAACGAACCATGACTTCATCTCGTGATCTACAATTGCCCTTGCCCACAGAGCGCTGGTTTCCAGCGTCTTCTCGACTCCAGTGATGTTCTCTTCCTTGGTACCATTATTGTCGACCTAAGAGTTCTTCAGTGTCGAATCCAAAGGTTCTAATCATAAGCAAGGGGGCAAACAATAGAAGGCTCACCTCAACTAGAAGACCTGCATCTCGGTAGTGTCGTTCGACAGGCGGTCCCTCATTCAGGTACTCAGCATATCTCTTAGTGAACTTCTCCGCACTGTCGTTGCGATCACGGCCTCGCGCAAGGTATCTCCCCTCGGCCTTTTCTTTCGTCACATTGAGCAGCAATACGACATCAGGCTTCGCATTTCCCTCCTATTTGGGTTAACGACCTTAAGTCTGCGGGCTTGCATGCTCGCCTCGCGCCGACTTACCAAACGGAGTCTGTCTTGAAAGGGCCACTTGGTCCACGAGTTGAGTTGCTCCTCGCACCTCGGGAAGCCGTCGATCAAGATTCCCTTCAGACCATCTTGTCGCATGGCATTTTCGATTGCAAGACACAGAAACGGATTCAGTTCCTCAGACGTGAGGAAGCCTTGGTGGTCAAGCTTCTCCTGGATGCGGCCGGCGAGAGGCGTCTCGCGGTTTGCTTGCATCCAAGTGCGCAGATTATCCCCAACGGAAAAGTGCAATAGGCCGTACTTGTGTGCCAGGTACGCGCAGATTGTCCCCTTGCCTGATCCAGGTGCTCCTGTCGAGATGATAAGTATGCCTCCTTGTGCCCAACACAAAAGGACGAACCGAGGACAAATATCACTGCGAACTTCCGCCTGTTCGCGGAGGTTTGGGTGTCCATGGCGCTCGCTTGTCTACCGATCGTGTGTTGGCAAGGTCATGTCCAGTAGATGAGCTGCAGGCAACGTTACAGTACGTCGTCGGCCGGGATATTGCAGTCGGTTTAGCATTACATAAGCTCACGACATTTCCTTTCTTCCAATCACGTGGAAGGTTGAAATGAGAAGCACCTGGCTGAACTCTAATACCTTATCAACAGCCCCATATCCCTCCCTCAACATGATTCTCTGCTCGTCGACAACAGTTGTTCAGAAAAAAAAAAAAAGGCTCAAACGAGCTACGATCAGCTATATAAGTCTCCAAGACTTCGCCTCCTTTGAGAGGTTGCCCAAACAGGATGGAGATATCAACCTCATTCGCCAAAGCGGCGCTAGCGCTCTTCTCCGCCATCCCATACTTCGTCTGGGTCGTAGGCGTCCTGGCAGCTGCAGTAGCTTATCTCTCACGTCGGCGCCGCGCCGAACCATACCAAGTCTGCCCCCCTGAAAGCGAGACGTTGGAGAAGTCAAAGTCGCAGGTGGCCAACGACCCGGACGCCCCGGTCTCCGTGAACTACTTCCCCTCCCGCGAATGCAACTACGCCTGCGGGTTCTGCTTCCACACCAACACCTCAGGCTACATCCTCCCCCTGGACGAGGCCAAGCGCGGCCTGCGTCTCCTCAAGGAGGCCGGCATGCGCAAGCTTAACATCGCCGGCGGAGAGCCTTTCCTGCACCCAAAGTTCCTGGGAGAGCTTCTCCGGTACTGCAAAGAAGATCTAGACCTCGAGAGCGTCAGCATCGTCAGTAACGGGAGCAAGATCCAGGAGAAGTTCCTCCGCGAGCACGGGCGGTACCTGGACATCCTCGCTATCTCGTGCGACTCGTTCGTCCGGGAAACGAACAAGGCGATTGGGCGCGGGGAGAACGGCCAGGCGGACGGAGACCACGTGGCGCAGGTCTTCCGCATCGCGGAGTGGTGCCGCGAGTACGGCATCATGTTCAAACTCAACACGGTCGTCAACATTTACAACTGGGACGAGGACATGGCGGCGCAGATTGCGGAGCTGGCGCCGTTCCGATGGAAAGTGTTCCAGTGCCTGATCGTCGAGGGCGAGAACGAGGACGACACGCGGGTGCGCGATGGGCGGAAGTTTCTCATCTCCGAGGAGCAGTGGAAGACGTTCTGTGACAGGCATAAGCACCTGCCGTGCTACGTGCCAGAGGATAACCAGACGATGGCCGGGAGCTACCTTCTCCTGGACGAGCGTCTGCGCTTCCTCGACAAGGGCGACGGGCCGATGAAGAAGAGCGACTCTTTGCTGGATGTTGGGGTGAAGAGGGCCATGCAGCAAGTTGCGTGGGACAAAAGCGCTTTTGACAAAAGAGGTGGAGTCTACGAGTGGCGAAAACCGCAGAACGTAGATGGTGATGGAGGTTGCGGTGGTGGGGACAAGAAGGAATTGGAGTGGTAGGGCTGCGATGTTGTAATTCTGCTCAGCAGTCATCAAGACCAGCCAAGACTACGTCGAGAGTTTGGGAGGTTGGGAGAGGGGCTCATTTTGGCGGCTTTACTAGGCGTTTACCTGGAGTTCAAAATGCTGCGAATTCGTCATGCCCTTCTGCTGGCGCAGAGCCAAGGGTTTCTCGACCAAGTGGGCATTCTGGGCGTCGGTATTGGAGGCAACGGCTTGGGTAAACTTTAAGAGACAAGTTGATGAGCCACGGGAATTGGTATGGGATGGGTCGTGGCCTTGTCACGGGGCGGAGGCGCACTAGCCTGGCGCCGTCATCAACGTACAAGCCTCACTAACATCTCAGAGAGACTGCGGTTGGTTGAAGCGGAGGAAGCACTTTCTGGTAATCGAATGGACCCCAGGCTTATGTTTGTAGTTGTTAATACAGGTAGGGAGGGTGCGAGACAAAGATTGGCTCGAGGATGGTATTTGGGTCTCGCCTCTTCATGTTGGCTTATGCTGACCATAATTCAACTTAGTGTTCACAAGTCTGTGGGCGTTCTTTGGATGCCACACGGCCCCTATGTAAATGCACATCATTATCTCTAATCACATCTTCCAACACCATAATTTCCTTTATTCACAAAGCGTTGAACATCGGTGACCTTCGAAGCCAAGGCGGTATCAATCACCTTCCAACTGTCCAGACGACAACCAACAGCTTACCCCTGGCCTCCAGCCACCCCTCTCTGTTGGTTCGACCGGCCATACCCAACCAACCAAGAAATGAACAACTGTTCATTTCGACAACTTCCTTTCTGTCAGCTTGCGTTCGAATCTTTCGCGCGGCCCTTAAACTTATAATAGATGCAAGCTGGTTCCCTACCAACATCATCAGCCTCATTTCTTGACACCTTATATACTCATCTTGCTCCGAATATTCTCGAACATGTCCCAGTCTTTTGAATACTCGCACGACGCTACCGTCAAAGCCATCACATCCTTTTATGAATTCATGAAACGCATGCATGGAGAAGAGGAGGCGGTCCTGAAATACCCGCCCCCCACCGGCTGGCCACAAATCACGCACGAATCTTTCGCCGGCCTGGATAAGACGAAGGAGGTCATTGAACTTTTGAGGCACATTCCATATTTCGTTATCGACCCATGCATCCTAGAGTCAACTAGGCCAAAATGTTATATCGACAGTCAGTTCTGTGAGGAAATCAAGAGATGGCCTGCCCTCGAGCCCGCCGAGCTAGACAACGAAGAGGGCAGACTTCCGGGTTACATCATAAGCCTCGCATCAGCCCGGGAGGAGCAGGTTGGGTGGACTCTCCTGCTTGACACCAAGCGTGGAGTTGTAATACTGTGGAAGAACGACGGTAATCTTCCCAAATGGGCCTGGGATTGGGATGCGGATAGGTACGATGTGGATGCAGACCCATACGGGCCTCAGGGATGGAAATGCATGCCGACCTACCGCATCGAGACATTCTTCGAATTCTGCAAGGAGCAGTACAGAATCATGAACTGGACGCCAGATCTTCTTCGGGGCGACGTATGTCAGCCGAACGACAATGACAACCTCTGCGAGGACGACTTGAGGAGGAGACAGATAATGAGTGATGCTGGATGGCCAGGCACCGATGGAGACGGTACTGGATGGGACAGAGAGAAAGCAGAGAAGGCTCTCGAAGAGTACGAGGAAGAGATAAGGTCTATGTAAAGACATACCTCGACATGAGTCTTGACCTTCAAGAGGATATGTAGTGGAGAAAAGTCCGCTTGCGGGCACATAATAAAAGCCCATGCTCACTCACTCTTGACGAGCGCTTCTATTTGTTCCTCAGCTCGCAAAGAACTTTTCCAGGCATACCCCTCAGAGCATTGCAGCAATGCTACATGTTCGTCTTGATCACATACATTTCACAGGCAGCGCCTCATAGTAAGCTTTGAAATCCGCTACCCCTATTTCGCCTATATTGGCAGTGGCAGAATTACCTCACGTTCTTGTCTTTCTTCACGATTATCCGCATCCGACCCAATGTACGGAGAGCGCTTCTGGAAGCCCTATCAGATAGGCGCTGTGGCTCATGCAGGACAAGAGGCTCTTGGTATTAAGGATACACTAGCCAAGCGGGCCGCCCATGACAGCCGGTGGGATGCCCCATTGATGTGCTTCTTGAACAACCGCTTTGAACTTAGCCTAGTGCGCATCGCTAGGGACTTTTCTTAGGTCGACGAACTGTCACTCAGGGACGCGTCCTTTGTTGAAGCCTATTCGCCTATATTTTCAAGGGTACGCTCCAGCCCCGGCCGCTCTTGAAACGGAACGGTAGACATCAAATGATAATGTCGGCGGCCTATGTGATGACAGGACCAACCGGCATTTTCAGGTACAGGTGATGGTTGCACGGCAGTCAATTAGGAGGCTGACAGTCAGAGTCGTATGGAGTGGTGTTCTCTCTACATAACCAAGCAACACCACTGAGATGCCAGATTAGCGTCCTTGTAGTCTCTCATCCTCTCCTGTGCCGGTCAAGCCATTGGCTATCCACTCATTTCCATCCTTTACAGTCTTTTCCATTCCAACTTCACATCAAGATGAGGTCTTCCACCCTCCTTAGCTTAGCCGCTGCCATCTCCAGCGCGTCCGCTCATTACTTCTTCCCCCACCTCATCGTCAACGGCAACTTCACCGACTACAACGAATATGTCCGCGAGAATACCCAGGGCTATATGCCCCTGAAAAACGGATACGACAGCACAGACCTCCGCTGCCGGACTGACTCCATGCGGTACGCAAGCAAGACCGGCATCTACAAGGTGAAGGCCGGCGATGAGGTTGGATTCGGCCTCAACTTCGGCGGGCGGATCCAGCATCCCGGCCCGATGCAGGCATACCTTTCCAAAGCTCCGGGCGACGTGCGAGAGTACGACGGCTCCGGCGACTGGTTCAAGATCTTCGAGCTCGGCCCCAAGACATTCTCCAGCGAGGGCGTCCAGTGGGGTGCCTATGACGTCGGCAACTTCACCTTCAAGTTGCCCGAAGCAACTCCGGCAGGACAGTATCTCCTCCGCATTGAACATATTGGCGTTCACGGAGCGGGAGATTTCGGTGGGGCCGAGTTTTACTTCAACTGCGCGCAGATTGAGGTCGAGAATGCGAGCGGCAGCTCCGGAGTCCCGGGGCCGTTGGTCAAGATCCCCGGATTGTACACCGGCCACGAGCCCGGTATTGAGTTCTACATGTACCGCCCGTGGATTGTGAATTACACCATGCCCGGCCCTGCCGTGTGGCCGCAGCCCCTCGCGGCGAACGTCACGGCTGAGGGTGTCAGCATTGCCCCGACTGCTACTCCTTGGACTCTCCCGGCGATCACCTCGACTCTTGTGGCGGAAAATACGGTGCCTGCAGCGACGACGACTCTCACCTCGAACTCTACGTCTCTTCAACAGCCTGGCGAAGGACTTGTCTCTTCGACATTGAGTGGAAGTGTTCAGACGGCTGAAGCGGTTTTGGTACCGTCCACGACATCAACCTCGAGCTTGGCCATCGTCTCCTCAACTAGCACCTCCAGGGTGTCACGATGCGCTCCGCGAAGCACTGTGATTCAGACTGTCTACGTTACTGCAAGTGTGTAGGAGACCCGAAGTGCCATACTACACCCGGAATTCGATCTTCTCCTTCCACAGTGTAACCTTCCATGAAAACGTGCGAGTACCCCTCAGAGAATGCCAAAATTTATAAGCCTTAAAGACTTCCGAGTGCTTAACGCGTCCCGTCATCTTCGCCCGTGAGTTTCAACGTTCCCCTTGTAGCGGTGGGTTGCCGCACCACCGCCAATGCGCACGGCACATCCGGAGATCTTTTTTGGCTACTGAAGTCTGACCGAAACTTACTTAGAACTTTATTCAGAAGGTTAACACCACTTTTGTGCTGCTTTCAGTCATGACTTAAATTCGACGAACACCTCCATTACAAGACCCGTCATCTCAATCCTTCCTCTGTCACTTCCAATCACGATGTGGTTATCGTCCCTGCTCAGAGGCCCGCCCATTCCCCGTGCAGTACTGCCCATACTCTTTATGCTTTCATTCATAAGCATCTCGTTGATAATAATGAAAATGCGACCGAACACCAATCTCAACTTCACGAGTACAATCCTCCGGGGCAAGGACGAAATACCAAACCAAGTGCACTTTGTTTGGGCACTCTATGATGTTGATTCTGAGCTCAGACTTGCCTTCGAGCAATACTTATCGATGTACTCAGCCTGGTTCTATCTGAAACCACACACTATATATCTCCATACAAACGCCAAAGAAGCTCAGATCGACCGCGCTCGCAACGGATCCTCCGGAAAATGGGCTGCGCGAATCTTCTCGATGCCCGGTCTTCAAGTGAAATGGATGGAAGCCCCGCATGAAACGAATCAAGGAGTCAAGTTGGCATATAAAGAGCATATTTCAGACTTCATGAGAGTCAAAGCCGTCCATGAATATGGCGGTGTGTACATTGATTTCGATGTACAGGTGTTACGAGATGTGGCTGCGCTGCGCAAGAGCGGGTTCACGGCTGTCGGAGGCCGACAGATAGATCAAAACTTGAACAGCGGCACGTTCATGTCGAAAAAGGGTACTAAGATGACGAAGCTCTGGATGGAAAATATGCACAAGTTCTACAACGGCGGGTGGACCACACACAGCAATTGGTGTCTTACCAGAGTTGCGGAGAGTCTTGTTCGCGAACCAGGCGAGGTGCTCATCCTCGACAGTAAAGCTTTTGCGCCAGTTGGTTGGAATCCGGAGGACGCAATTGAGTTATTTGGGCTACAAAACGAGACTCTGGAGCTCGACATTGACGCCGGATTAACAGCGTCAGCGGATGATGGGGAAGTCAAAATTGACTGGACTCCCATCAAGCCATCGTGGCCTCTGGATTGGACAGCAACTTATTTCTTACATGCATTCACTCCAGATTGGAAAGTCATTCCTATCGAAGGGTTCCAGGGAGTCACGCCACGCTATATTCTAAGTCGTCAGAGCAACTACGCATTAGCGACATATCCTGTTGTGAAGCATATGTACATCAATGGTCTCGTGACAATGGAGGATGGGGAGTATTAAAGGCTGGGTAACGATCAAGCAGAGCCATAGCACGTTCGGGGAGTGGCATCTTCATAAGTATATATAAAGCAGGCATGGAAGATGAGATCGTCTTGGTGCTCAAGTGTTACCAAGGAATAGTCCCATTCCTACTCGAAAATGTCGCTGACACACCACTTCTCTTCTCCAACGTAGCCATCTTTACAATTCTCCTAGCGCCCAGCTCGATCGAGACAGCTCCGTGGCTCGCCAAGATCTCACCGCCCATAGATGCTGTCATCTTAGTGTCAACCAGTCCTGGGCAAGACAGCATTCGCAACTCCTCCAACATCTTTCAGTACCTTGACATAGCCGCAGTCAACATGTTGACCGCGGCCTTTCTGGCATCGTAAGAATTGAATGTGAGGTCTTGAAGCGCCAAGGTGGTGTCTAGCGTCGCCCCCATCGATCCCTTGGTAGAGTTGATGAAGACGGTCCACGGGAATTCGGACTTGCGAAGAAGCGATAAGAGTTTGTCGGTCAAGACGACAGTGCCGACGACATTTGTGGCGAAAGTGTATGTCCACTGCTCCCGAACGGGGAGGCTATGCGTCACGGCAAAGTGCACAGCGGCGTTGTTGACCAGAACATTGAGCTTGCCAAATGTTTCTGAAATATAGGCGGCAGCAGCAAAAATGTCTTCGTCGAGCGTGAGATCGAGTTATATCGATGATGCGAGCAGACCACGAGATTTCAGTGAATTAGCTATATCTTGACCCCCAGCAACCCCCCGGAGAACCAATGATGATGTGGTAGCGGTGGTCCGCTGTTAAGATTTCGGCAACAGCACGGCCAATCCCGCCATTGGCTCCTGTGATGAGAGCAACTGTTAGAGATTCCATATTGTGAGGTAGTGCCATGAAATATGTGGCAAAAGTCCTGGGAAACCATGGTATTTTCCATCGCTCGATTGTTCATTCTCAATTATATACATGGTCAAGTTATTTATAATGATGATGCCTCTGTAGAGGGTGACTTATACTGATGATGCCTCTGCAAAGGGCGAGGAAAGATGAGATAGTTAGGAAGGGCTCATTATTCAATTCAAATGAGTGGCTCACCTGAGCTTTGTTGGCCTAAGAGACAGGAGTCGATGTTGCTCATATCACGGCGAAAGCCACGTCCCCCGGCTGCATCTTAATTGGAAGACTACCTTCTGTACCTTTTTTCAAACTCAGCCGTGCTAAAGCAGAGTTTCCAATATCTTCGCAGCTGAAATTTCAGCGTGATGTCTTCAAGGATCAATGTTTCAGAGAGCCCCCGGATGCCGTCGCCGGCGAGACAGGAACCGGCGCCGTGTGGGGCCGTGACTCCGGGAAGGAGCGGGGCGGCCCAAGTATGAGTGATTTGCGGATGATCTGAGTATTTTACATCGCAATAGTGATGAGCTTTGGCATCGAAGTCTATCCAAGTCAGGAGAGGTGTCTAAAGGAGGACAATAGATTCGGGAAAGTTGACTACAGCCCGATTTTCTCTCCTGTCAGGCCAGAGGTGCTCGCGCTGCTTGCGCTTGGTGCGTCATGACCAATCAACCCGTCGACGGCTTCAGCTTTTCAATCGAGTCACTTTGCATGCGGACTTGTGTCGATGGAACTCGTCGTCAATTGAATTTGGAAGTGTGTCTTGGCAAGCTGAAACAGGCCCTTGGCCAGTGGAAGCCACTGTGTTGTCATGAATGTAGGTGAAATCTCGACCAACGACACCGCCTCTCGTAGCCAATCATATAAACATACAGGGCTCAGGGACCCATATCAATTCCTAGAGATAGACTGCTTAAAACAGGACGATCGCCACTCGTCGTGAACCCCGGGACCTATGACTTAACCCCTTACACCCAGCCATCTACCCAACCTCTCGTAGCCACCAATACCGAGTGTATATCCTCATCGGCACGATCAACCACAAGGTCTGCACCAATGTCTATGCAGTTTTGATGCACGTCCACCGCAGACCTAACTTGCTGGGCATGTTATTCCTAGCACTTGATCTTCGAGCCTTTCTGCGGCGTGAAACCAGCTACTTGGCAGCAGTTCTCCTTAACTCCTTTGCCGCTACCCGCGCTTGCCCCGTGGTAGACATCCCACTTATACGAATTGCAGTTGTGGAACTTTTCGTTCGTCGAGCCTGCGGTGTTGGGGTGAGGCCTGGTCCTGCCTCTCGGGACCATCCCGCGTAGGGGCGGGAGACCGAAGCTGGGTCCGATGAGGAGGAAAAAGAGGACGACACTCCAAAGTCTGAGCATTTTGATAGTAGATCTCGATGAGAATATGAGGATCTTAGCAATAGATTGTCTAGATGATGATAGTGCTGATAGTTGTATGCCATTAAAATCTGCGAATAACGCAACTGCCTGCTCTCTTATACCCGAATTCACCTCCATCATCGCCCGCCACGAACGAGGCCTGCGTAAGCCAAAGGATAACTTCACTGATTTCGGAGGTAGTTTTTCCCTCGACAAAAGCATGCCTTGCGTGTCCGTATCGTTGAGTTCAGTCGAGCGCAAAAAGGAAGTCATCTCTGTCGGCGCAAACGTGACTCGCGCGGGGCTGCCGACACACAACTCCCGGAAAAAGCTCAATGAAGCCATCACCGGCCAGGCTACGGCCGGGTGGACGTCGCTGTGATAGGGTCACAAATACCCGCTGCTCCAGAGTATTGGGTTCGCGCACTGCATCCCGCGTTTAATCAGCGCGGGGTTTGTAGTCTGGCGCTAGCGAAACTGCCGACGATGGAATCATGCTTACTGCCCGAATGGGATTGTTGGAGTTTCCCGCCTCGTCCAGGGTCCACGGACAAAACTTCCTGATGCCCTTGATGGAAATTTGTTGTTGAGCTATGGAGGAAGGCATCCGTGTAGAGTTGTCAACCCCGACCAATCAGGTGGGTAGTTCCTCTAAAGATACTTCACGACGGGCCCGTCGCGAGGGGTAGAGTTATGCAAGATGCAATATTGACAGAAGGTTTCGGGGTGGGGGGGGGAAGAGCGCTTCTTCACACTTGAATGGCATAAAATTATCTATATACTCTGTAGCTTCCTATCATCCTGTCCACGCGGCTGCTCCAAAGTACCCGGTCCCGTCCACCGGCTCCTTATTCTGCGCTAGCCCGGCTGGACCAGCGGACTGGTCCCGCGATATCCCCAGCACGATATCCCGCGCGGAGGTTAAGAATACAATTGCAGTAGTTTCGGAAACTTTGAGAAACCCTTGTAGTCTACTTGCAAGATGAGGCCGCAAGTCCGCGAACTCATTCTGTTGAGAGAATTGACTCCGCTTTCCAAGCTCTCATCGCGCCGTGAGAGGTGATGGGGTCGCACAACCGAGTAAGATGAAGGGAAACCAGTCAACTGCGGCTGAATCGGCGGAAAGCTAGCCTGAGCGACTCCGAATCCATGCTGACGGGTATCTTGATAGCTGATCGGCAGCTGAGAAGCGCGCTGGTCACCCCTGTCCACCCTCTTTGGGCAAACAGCCCAGCCTGACGGCTGACCCTCCTTCGCATACTTCCCCGAGAAATACCGCATCCCGGGTTGGTAGCTTCGGACAGAGAAAGTAAATTAAGCGATGGTCTTGGTCTAAGATTCGTTTCCGAAGACGGCGGTGGTGTCTGCGATGACTCCTTACGTTGTGGACCGCAGAGATCATCCCGTTGCGGATGCCGTCACGCCGCTCACTCATGAACGCTCTCTTTCACATACATTCAGAGACTTGGGAGAGAATCACACTTCACGCGCCCGCATAAATACTCGGAACGGGCATCAATCATCCAGACAGCATCACTTCCGGGCCGCATCCACAGGCTTCATCTCCTTGGTCTCGTCCCTTGTCGTCTACTTTGGTCAGCGGCTGGCTCAACCTTGGGCCTCCTGGAAACGAGTCCATATTTGAGCGGAATCTGGTGCGCTGATATTGCCATGAACTATCCCTCATGAATGCTTACGTCCTTAGACTTGGAAACCTCTCGTCTCGGCCATCCGCTGGTCAGAACCAGACGCGCTACTGGTCCTTCTCTTCCTCGCTTTATACGCCGTCTCGACATCTTCATTCCGCAGCGCCAGATGCTGCGATCCCTGGCAAAAAGTGATCATCACACTACTCCTAGCTTTCGGCTTCTGTGCCGTCGTCGCTGTGACCGCGCTCCAAGGTAAACGGGCAGATGTATTTGACGGTCTTTTGATCGTCGTTCCTCCGCTATTACCCCTGGGAATTTGTTCAAGTATAGCTATCCATTCGTTGAGTCTCCGAGTCGCATGTCTCTATCGGAAGTTCCGGAATCAGGAGTCTTGACTTCCACCGTTGAGCATAATAGACTGTGTAGCCTTCAGAGGAAATCCTGAATACAGTAGTTGTTTCCATACTGTGTCTTGGAACCCTCCCCAAAGAAACATCAAAATAACTGCAGAGTTACAAAGCGTGCTCCCCCACACCAACATGCCACCAGACCCTGATCGACAATTCCACATGACATGAACCTTCGGACCGAAAGCTCCATGAACGGGCCGTGGAATGGAAAGGTCCCTTGGTCCCGTGGTCCCTCCGGGCGACCCTTTCCTTCCGTCCGGGCGATGAGACACCAGATCTCTCGACCAAGACACGGTTTTACAAGAAACCTACCCTAGCAATCCTCCCCGAGTACCACACCACATTCCTCTCCACGTGGGTGAGCACGGAAAGGGTCTCCAGCTCAACTCAGCCGCATCTTTGATGACTCTAATCTAAGTACTCTAACAAGTCTAAACAACTCTTTTACACTCGCAACGTCTAGCCAACGAAACACGGCCCCCGTCTAAGGTGCCAACACCCAAAATGTCTATCCAATCTAGCTTCACTCCCTCGCCCACGCCGCCAAAACGCCATCCACAATCTCCTCCCCCTTAGTCACCCCAACCTCATGCCCCGCCTTCAACACCAACACCTCCACCGCGTCCTCCCCCAACACCCTCCGCGCATCCCACACCGTCTCCCCAGGCACCACAATCTCGTCCCGCTCCCCAAGCACAAACAACACCCTCCCCTTCCTCAACCCCGCCCCGGCCACATCCCCCTCCTCCCTCCGCGCCTCCAACACCTTCGCCAGCACCCGCCACTCCTCGTCTGCCCGGTCATACACCGGCGCCTCCCGTATAGTCGACACATAACTCCCCACGAACCCCTCGTGCGCCGCCAGCTGCCACCCCACAACCTCCCCGATCCGTCCCCCGCCCACGAGCCGCAGCTCATCCCACCCGGCCTCCTCCACGCCGTCCACGGCCTCCGCCTCCGGCACATCCCCCCCTCCAGCCCTCTTCGCCGGCGCCAGCCGCCGCCCGACAACCCACCTCCTAAACCCCTCCGGCAGCAGCGGCGAGTTGTACAAGAACCGGCTGCGCCAGCCCACGTGCGCCGCCGAGCGTATCAACCCGCCCGGCGCGACCAGCGTCAGGCTGCGCACGAGGTGCGGGCTGCTCGCCGCGAACGCCGCCGCGACGGCGCCGCCCAGCGAGTACCCCAGCAGATGGAACGCGTCGTCGCCCGTCCACCCGCGCAGCGGCGACGACGCCAGCGCCAGGAGGATCTGCGTCGTGTACAGCCGCGAGTCGTACGGCAGATCCGTCGGCGCGTCAGAGTACCCCCTCCCAAAGAAATCTACCATGCCAACATTCAGCACATGGTTTTTAGAAGAAAGGGCGAGTAACTCACCAAAGGTCATCACCCTCCACCCCCGTCTCACAAACTCCCCCGCCACGCCCCCCAACGCCAGACACGGCGTCCCGATCCCGTGCAGCAGCAGCACCCTCTCCCCGGCATCCTCGGGCCCCCACTCGTACACCCGCAGGTTCCCGTACGGCGTGTCCACGTCCCGCGCGCCCGGGAACACGTCCGGCGGGTACGGCAGCTCGTCCCGCGCCAGTGTCGACAGCCGCGGCAGCACCGTCCACCGCGGCGACCGCGCCGTCTTGCGCCGGTCGCGCCCCGGCGACGGCGTGATGACCGTCCTGGACGCCGCCGGGCTCCGGATGAGCAGCGTCGCCGCCGCGACCGCCGCCGCGAAGCCCGCCAGCCCGAGGCCCAGTTGCGGGAGGTCTGGGCCTCCTCCCCCGAGGAGCCGGTCTCGCATGTTGCTTGGTGTTGATGTTGCGGGCGGTCGCTTTAGTGAGTCGATAGTGCCCGTCTATGAAGTGGGAAATGCAAGGCTGGGGAACACAGGATGTTGCAGGAGAATATTCACGGGAGGACGTCCAGGTTGCGGTTGCGGTTGCGCCGGTGTGGGACGGTCGGGCCCCGTCGCCGCACGGAGGTGCGGGATGATGGGACCCCGCCCTAAACCCCCCAACCTCGGCAGTCTACGGTGCATCTTTGCTATGGTACCTACCCTGAGCTCCCTGACTCGACTCCAAAGACCCCGGCATGACTAAATGAACTCGATATTACCGAATCCCTCAGGGCTTACGCAACGCTCGATTGATTATCGCACGGGTTTGCAAGAGTAAACAAAGAGGGAAAGACACGGGAAACGCTCAAGATATCGTAACGGGTCGGTTGTTCCCTAGTCCCGTCGGCGTCGCCGCCCAGGAAGCGCAGCGCAGCGTGGCCCCTCCTCCGCTGCGCCCAAGAACGTGACGTCGTTCGGACCTGGGGCGCCCCTTGCAGGCCCGAACCCGTCTCACTCGCACGAAAGAAGAGGGACGACCGCCAATTCAGATTTCAGGGGGGCGGACGATGCGCCAGACTCGGAACGATAATGCAGGCCCTTCAGAGATCTGCCGAGCAGGTGCAGCAAAGACAATATGCAAATGAAGAAAAGCAGCGCTGTCGTGTGAGTCGCAGTCGGCGGCAGGTTCGTTCGGCGTTCCGAAGATAGAAACAGAAAACCCCCCAAAGCAGAAGCGAACCAAGGGCGACACCGCCCTCGAACTGCCTGCATCGCGCCGGGGCTCCATCGGATGGAAGCGGAGCGGAAGCGTTGGTTGTTGGTGCTGGTGCTGGTGCTGGCGAGTCGGTGATGGGCAGAGCAGACACACATGGGCTGGGCTCGCCCTTCCCAAGTTCCCTTCATCCCCCCTCTCTCAGCCCACCAGCCAGTCGAACTGCGAGAAAGACATGCTGATGCCGGTGCACTGTGCAGCTGGCAGGTTGCCCCACCACATAAGCGCGGCATGGCTGCTGCTGCCACATGCACCAGCTTAAGGTAAGTTGCTTGCTGCCGGCATGCCAGATGTGTTGTCGGGCGGTTTATGTGTGGTTCAGAGGCTTGTTCGCCGGTCGCCTGGGGGCGCTTCTTCTGGCGGCGCCGAACAAATCGTTAGCATTCCTCTGCTTCTTTGCTTCTTCCTCGTTGGTACAGTAGCATCCTAAGCTACGCTGTTCGGCAACCGCCGCTCCACGCAGCTGCTCCCAGCTGTCTAACAGAATCAGTACGTCGTACTGTAGCTTCTCCAACTACCTCTAGCTCTCCAGCTGTTGTCTTGGTCATGACTCTTGTACACCACATGGACAGAGGAGGGGAGGGGGAGGGGAGGACAAGCGAGCAACGGTGAGAGCGGCGGGATGGTCGTAGCTTCCCCCCCACCAGACCGACGGCAGACACAGACGCAGAACCCGGGGGTTTGACACTGGGAAAGATGGTGGTGAGACAGCAAATCCCCATCCCACGAACTGGACATCTCCCGCCGTCCGCCGCAGCAGGCGATGCACAAAATCTCGCTGGTCTTGGATCCATTGATCCAAGTCTGGTCCAACCTTGAAGCCAAAATGGCGGTGTGGCAGTGGAAACCAACCACAGCACATCTTCCCCCGCGACCTTGTTGGGTGCCGCTGCCACGCATGTGGCTTTCGTCCTCTCGGGTTCCCTGCCACCCCTTTCTCTTCCCTGGGCCCTGATGCATGCAAATGGGCAGACAATGCTCCGTCCTCCGTCGAGAACAATGACCCACGAGAGATCTTCATGGGGTGAGGCCTGTCTCGTGCCGCCGCACAGAAAGTAACGATGACATTCGAACTTCCGGCTTGCCTGCCGTTCAGTCGTACAGACACTCAATGAACCGCCCCCAACGCCGACTTGCACGCGGCACGCTGGTAGTTTCATGCGGGCGTCCGTACTGCAGGTAGCGGCAAGCTTGGTTCGTGGATGGTGGATGACGGGCACGGTCGACGAGCTAGAAGGCTGGGCCTGCCTCCAGAGGCTGGAAACAAAAGAAGGTTACCCGACGTTGTCATCGTTTGCTTCTCCCACCTCCCCAAGAGAAGCTTGGGTGCTTGTAGGTGTAGGGCGGCGAGAGGGGATTGGACGCTTCGCCCATCAGGATGTGAACTGTGTGATAACGAAGTTCGAACTCAATGGCAGTCGACAACGACCATCCCCACACCTCCAACTTTCTTTTCCCAGCTTCCAGACCATGTCCGATGAGAGAGCTGATTCGCTGTGGTGGTTTTGTCCTGCTGCAGGCTGCCAGGCATTGGGCTGTGAAGGCTCCGCTCATTCGCAAGACATGGCCCCGGCAGAATCAACATCAGGGACGGAGCGTCAATCCAACCTCGATCGAGGAACACCAGCCCTCAATAGCCCTGGACGGGGGCCGGTCTTGTCTGCTGCTGGAAGGGTCCTCCGCCTACCCAGGCACGAGGATGACAGAATCCAGGAACCCTTTGAGCCCTGGGCCGACCGCTGTCTTGTTAGTAGTGACTGGCGAGCATTGCACTGTGTCACCGATTAGCACCAGCCTCCCTCCGTCCTAGGCGCCAAAAGCGCGGGAGCCATTGACGAATTACCCCGCGGAACTGGAAACGGTGAGGCAACGGAAGAGACGCCTTGTCACGTCGCATGGGCAAGTCCCATGTTTGTAGCGGACGCCTGATGCCGAACACAAAGTGTAGACGATAGATTGAGGCGGGAGAACAAGCACGCACCACGCAAGGCGAGGACGGCGGCGGCGACGGGACGGGTGAGACGGAGAATGTGACGGCAGAGGCGAGCGCCGTGCGTGGGGTGACGAGGCGGACCGCCTGAGCAGGCAGGCTGGAGCATGGGAATGTTCGCCCCCCTTTCGTCACTGGAATACCCTCCCTTCCCTGACGAGATCCATCGTGGGAGATCACGAAGGCATCGTCAGGTGTCTCAAGATGGTTTCCCGTCCTCATGCCCCAGCCGTGCCTGCCATGCCTGCCCTGCCCGATTGCCATCTTGGCAGATTGGCCTCTCTCCGCAGCGCAGGGGCATGCAGCAAGCAAGCCAGCCAGCCAGCCCAGCACTTTCACAGCCCTCGATAATTGACGAGGAGCAAGAGGGGGAAACAGGGACTCCAGGGAGGGAGATGCTGTGCCACAGTGGGAGAGACAGCCAATTGCGCGGATTCCAGGGTCTGCCCCGGGTGGCTGCTGGCATGGTCGCGCAGGAGGCCCGTCCGCTTCATGCAGCCTTCGATGCGGTGGAAGACACGGGTGCCGCAGCCAATCCCACGCCGGACGGCTGTTGGAATGGGACGTTCCCTGAAGGGCAGATTTGGTCTAGAAGACGTTGGCACCGAGGGTGGAAAGATACCCAGAGTGGAAGCCGCCGTCGACGACCGGAACATTAGGTTGATGCGTGAGGCATGGCTGGATGTCGAGGTTAACTGTATCTTTTGGATTGCATGTCAATCGAATCTTGGTTGCATCAGCGCATCGGTCGGCAGTCGAGTGCCAATCCGGTTGCTCGGCCATGTGCCGTCTCCATGCCCATGATGTATGCCGTGGGATGAAAGTCGCAAGAATGGACAGAAGCGAAGCATGGAACGATAGGGAGTCCATCATGGCATGTTTATCAGTTAGCCACTGACGGATGATGCTGGGGTGAGGAGGGGGAGGGGCAGGCGGAGAGCGGGCGCCGGGCAGGTGCGAGTGACGGTAAGGTATGACGGGGCGGCAGAAAACCTTCAGTGAGATCTGCGTGTGAGTGATGAGTGAGTTGAGGGTGAGTGAGAGAGCCGGTGACGATCGTGTGGTGTGAGAGAGGGACAGAAAGGTGTGCGGTGTGGGCGTGTGTGTGTGACATGGCGATGGTTGCCCCGCTGTTAGTGCTGTCTGTGGCCAGACCCAGCACCTGAGAAGGCAGAGGTGGAGGTGTGTGAGATTCGGTACGTACCGCAATCGAGGGCGACTTCGACTTCGACTTCCTCGTCGGGCGGGTCGCAGGTGCAGCAGGTGCAGGGCAGGTGCAGGTGCAGTGGAGGTGCATGTGGCAAGCGCACACTGTGAGGCTATTCGCCTGATGCCTAAGGAGTCAGGCCCACTCCACACACCACACACAACAAGACAGTGACAGGGCAGGCCGCAACAGCCAGTCGGGACCAGGGCCTGGTCGCTTGAAGCAAGCGTGCCAGCCGCCAGTGTCCGCCACGTTTCCGAATCCAGGCCGCTGGCCAAGGGCCGGGTCATTTCTCAGGTTTTCCCTCCCATCTCTCTCTTTCCTCTCCTTCTGTTATTATTTTCTGCCCTTCCCAACTGCGAACTGCACCGTCGGACCAAGGTCTAGCCACCAGTCATAGCGGCACCCGATCCCCACCCAGTGCCTGGCTGTCAGTGGCTCACAGCCCCCCTCCCTTCACTGCCTCGTTGTTCGTTATGCAGCCCCGGGCTCTAACCACCTGCAGCACAGCAGAGCAGTAGCAGGAGGGAAGCAGGAGAAGCAGCAGCAGCAGGCACACACATGTATACGTACCCAATGAGAGCCACAGTGTGTGCAGTGGTGGGCTGATACAGACAGTGTCGATTCGCTTTCGTTGGGCCAGTCGTGGCTGGATTGGCACCCTGCGCTACCGCTGTTTTTACCGCTGCCGCTGCCGCTGCTGTTCCAAGTGCAGACTGTTCATTCATGAACTGTGCCGTCTGCCCACTTTGCACACTCAGTCATCAGCGGGATGCCCTGTGCTTGTGCCAATGTTTTGCTTCCCAAGTTCCCTCGTCCATCATCTTCGTCCCCAAATGTTGGGATTCGATTCGACCGACCGGGGGTCACCCAGGTAAGAGGGTCGGGAAGGGTTTCAACTGAACCAGCACACACTGTGAGCGGGCGACATGAAGCCAGCCGAGTATGAGGTCCTTGGGGGGAGACTCCAGCCAGCATGGAATGGGAAACACTAGGCTGCGTTTCTCGTGTTTCCAAACATCAGACTGCGCCAGCTTAATGCCCCTGGGGTCACAGTGGCCGCAGTTGACTTCTAGTGTATCAAGGACCAGCGGCCTTTGGCCTTTTGGGGCACTCGATTTCGAGAACGAATGTGCGCTGCGAGGCGCGAAGCAGACCATCTGCAGCGCTTCCCTCACAGCACTGCGGAACCATCAGCATCGAACAAGTTTGCTGAACTCTGACTGGCAGGCCCAGCTCTGGAACAACAACAAAGCCCGTCCGGGGTTGGGTTCTCTGGCGTCCCACCTCAGACGTGGAATCCGGACGACGTCGGAGGGTCTCTGGCGTTCTGCTCTTCCACGCTGGGCTGACTGTCGCCTCCAGCCAGATCGTCGCCAGCTGCATGGCACGATGAGAAAAGAAAGGGACGCCGAAGCGGAAGAGCGAAGACTGGACGAGGGCAAGACATCCGTTGGTCGGACCACACATAGGGCCGAGAGCAGAAGGCGCATGGTCAGTTGATCTCGAAGGAGAGACATGTCGCTGGGAACACACACCACTAGCCCGCGCTGAGGTGACGGGCGGGACAAGGAAGGCGAGGAAGGCTGCACCGCGGGCACCGCCAGTGGAAGGGAAAGCACGCCCAGAGGAGACGAGACGGCGCGGACAAGGACGGGACCGGCGAATGGAGTGCGGACGGTGGGAGGGAGAGGAGGACTCGAGGAGGAATACCCCAAAGGAGGCGCTGCGCCTTCAGCGCCTGGTCTTTCATCTCCCGCTCTCCGTCCACCGTCTCGTACGGCACATTAGCATCCCCATCGCGCTGGCGCCCACGGGGTTCTGGAATGACTGGTGTGGGCAGCCAATTTCTCCAGTGGCCGCAAGCGGTAAACTGTACGGTACCGAACTGGACGAAGGTAAACAACAAGACGAGCACCACCAAGCACAAGCACAGGCACAAAAACAAGCAGGCGGGCGGGCGGCTGGCTCTCGGGTCACAAGTCGTGGCGAGACATGGACACACTACCCACGTACTAAGTGGCTAAGGCAGACAATGTGAAGTCTGAAGAACAACAACAACACAAGGCCCACAGTGCGTCTGCGAGATGCAGACTCAGTACCTGCATGCCACGCCTCAGCTGGCCCTGCGTCCATGTTCCGACCTGAGGAAAAGCGAGAGTGCCTGAAGGAGGGTCCTGAGATCCCAGTTGGCACATTGGTGGTGACTGCCAGGCACCTAGTGCATACGAAGTACCGTCTGCCTCCAGGTCTGCTTCTCTCTGCCTGTGAAGGGTGCGGTGGTTGCAGGTGCAGCATTGTGCAGTGCGGTGGAAAGTTGGAACGCAGCGCAACGGCGCAGCGGCGGTGCTGGGAAAGAAGGTGGGTGGGCATGAGGGAGGTATCGTCGCTGAGATGCATGCAAGTACCTGTCCTCCTGCCATCGCTGCGACTGCCGGCTCACCAGGACCTCCCAGGCTCGCCGAGTACACGCAACAATACTGTGAACACGATGCTTTCCTCCCACCTCTCGCTCTTTTCCGCTGCTCATTCACCGTCCACCCATCCACCCATCCAATTCCCAGTCCCGGTCACAGTCCTGGTCCCAGTCGCTGCTGCCCTGGGTGTGTCCTCGTCCCCCCCAGTCCCAGTGTCCAAATACAGCCAGAGCCAGGCCATGCCCCACCAATACTGTCCGTCGCACTGGTAGGGTTGACGGCAGCCGGCGCCACGCCCCAAATTTACGCCTGCGCACTAGGCCGCGCTAGTCCCCGGCGGCTCTAGCTCGAGATCTACCGGCCAATGGAAACAAGGTGGCGAACTCGCGTATGGCGTCAAGCTGTGGAGCCACAGTGCCGTCCGCCAGAGCACTGTCCTCTGATCATCTCCCATTGGGCACCCTGTGGGTCCACCGCCGCCCCCCCATCCCTCCCACTGCCCAGTGTCTTCCCGGTCTCCTTGCCCTCCGTGCCCTCCTCGCTCCTCTCGCCTGCCTGCACCTGTCCACCCTCCCACCCTTTCCACTGCCTGCTCGATCCAACAAAACCATCGCTTGCTCCGGGTTCCTCTCTCCCGATACTTTTCAACATCTCTCTTCCCCCTCCATTTTACCGTACCTATTCTCCGCTCACCTCGACCACCAACCATTTCACTCAACACCCACGATATACACATACAACAATTTCACACCTCCCAAAAAGACAAAAAAGCATTGCTTTATACCACCAATCTATATCTCTTCAACGCGCACACACACACTTTTACTCGCACAACGTTCATCGACTCGGCGGGTTTCATTGTTTGTGTTTCAAAACTGCAATAATACCGCAAAGCTCGGCTCACCCACATAAGACCACCGCACTTCCGCCACACACCGCACCCTCACGCACACACTCCGCCTCCCCCAACCAACAAAACGGCACCGCTTCTCCAACCTCCAACCACGACGACATCTCTACACATCTCCGATACACCCCGACAGATTCATAGATAATGTCTTCATACTACCAGTTCAACCAGCACGCGCATCCTACCCCTGCCGTCCCCGGCGCCTCGCACAACCACCACGGCGGCCGCAATCGCAGACAGCCCAGGCTTTCCGTCTCTCAAAATGCGCACAAGCAGTTCCGCGGCGTCCGCAGCATGAAGGAGCTGACCGAGACTGCTTCCATCAACGTTTTCCGCACCAAGTTCGAGGCTGGCCGCTCGTTCGATCTCGAGGACGACATGGAGTTTTGCCCTGGCCTGTTGACCGACAGCGACGTAAGTAGCTCGGAGCCTTGGATCTAGGTCTCCTGATCCAGTGACTAATCATGGCCGCCTACTGCAGATGCACTCCATCAGCGCCTCTGAACGCTCCTCCCTGGCGAGTAACTCTCCGGAGTCGTCGCCTACGCAGCAACCCCAGACTGTTGCTCCTGGCTTCTCCCTCAACTCGTCCTCTCCCGCTTTCATTCCTCCCGCCTACCAGCACCAGAGTTTGAAGATTCACCAGCCGTCCGCTACCCGCGCCCGCAACGCCATCCCCATCGTCAACCCTGCCACGGGCATCCAGATGTCCAGCCCACCGCCTTCGGTATCCCCCGCCAGGATGCAGCAGGGCATGCGCAGGTGGTAAGGAAGCCGCGTCTCGCTCTCGTAATAGAGGGTCGGGGTGTGCGCCTCCTGCCATCTGCACCGACGCATGCTGTTGTGTAAAACTACTGCTTATTCGGCATTCTTGCTGATCATCTTGGTGGGCACCGAACAAAAAAAAAAATGGCATCGATGGCTTCTCTTGCGGGCTGGGTACCTCAAGGTTCTGGGCGGACCGCTGGTGTGGTCTTGCTCTTCTGTTGGCTCAACATTTCTCCTGTATAAACAACCTCACACGACATACCCTTGTTTAACCGGCAAAATTCCTTCGAGGCTTTACACGGCGCGACACGAGAAGTTATCGATACCATTTTCCTTTTTGGACTTTCGACTAAAAAAAATTCGACAAAAATCAATTCGGTGTCCTACCTCTCAAGGTGGGGCTGGACTTGCACGAATGGCGTTCCCACACGGGTGGTTTTGCATTTTTACGACATTGCATCGGTGCCTGATGGCACCTCGGCGGAGTTCTCGGATATAATTAATTCTCGGCATCTTTTTTCACGGACAGCGGGGACGACTTCCATTTTTTGATTTTCAAGATGATTTTCAAAAATATCAGTTGCTCATCATGGTGCTCGACGGGTCACGAAGTCATTCCGAAAAAGATTATCTCGACATATAGAATGAGTGTCTTTTTACAGCAACTTATTCGGAGCAGGGGCAACGGGTGTTTCTGTTATGGGCTCACAACATTGGGAAATATCAAACGGGCGGTGGCGGGCAAAGACATGCGTTGCTATTGTTTTGCGGCAAATCTCCAAAGCTTGGAAACGGGGTCCGGGAAATACCTTTGGGAAAAGGTGGAGTTGGTCATGGTTTCGGTCCGGGTGGTCTGCTGGCGGTGAACCTTCCCGGGAAGGGGATCGGGCGGCGCCCATTTGCTTTCTTGTGCCTCTTCTCTCATTATTTTCATTATTCGGAGATGGACCATTCTCATCTATTGCTTGATATTCCTGGGAGGTTTCATTCTCTTGTTACAACGAAACGGGGTTTATAAGCATCTCAGGGACATTGGGGAGTGTTGGGCGGTGGGTTCTCTCGCACCTTGTCTGGGAGCACTTTTTCGCGAGCATATTTTGGAGACGTTGTGTTGTTTCTGGGGAGCAGGCATGACACGATAAATGGCTCTCGTGGTTTACTGGGTCTGGAGAAAGGGATACCTCTTTTGGGTGGTTGTACAGGAAATGCTCAAGACGTGAAAGGGTGTTCAACGGGGGGATCAGACCTGAAGTGTCGAATCCCATGGCGCGAAGCCAGCAAGGCGCAAATGCAATATACGATATGTTCATCTCAACCTCGGCGTTCTTCCTCTCGCGATATGATCGAGCCTTGCGCTGAGTGATAACGTACTTCGCCCCAACGTGCACGCAGATGCGACAAATGCTGTTTGCTGAGAGGATTCGGGAACACGGGCAATGTCAGCAAATGTTCGGCCACCGTTCGACGACGAGGTTCGGATTGTCTTCGCTGACTGACGACCTTCGTTGGCTCGAGACACATGCACAGAAGCAGGTAGCGAAGAAGAGTCAAGACATTGATACCCCACGGCCCCCGCGCTTACGCTACATTGCGCATTTCCCATAGAGGTAACTCGAAACCCGCAGCTCTTTCCCCTGAGATCTGGCAGCGCTCCTCCGTTCATGCAGAGCAGATATGCGGGTGATATGAGACGTTTAAATTGAACAATCGAATATTGCTACCGTAATATGCTAAACTGTACGTCAACCCACCCCGCCCCCTTTTTTCCCCCTTCTGGATGGAGCGTGTTTGTTGAGAGGGGCTGAGCAGCTGAGTGAGGGGTAGCGTAGCAAGCTCAGGCGGAAGGGCAGTTGAGTGACCCCGTCTGTCTCTCCTTGTGCGAGAATGAAAGGAGGGCAGAGAGGGAATCTCCTCGGTTGCCCCGAGCTTGCGTCTTCAACAATGTAGCCGCCGGGGATGAGACAGAGCCGGACGGGCTGGGTATGCACATATCTAGGCTAGGCAAGGCGGTCTGTAAGGTTGGTCGCGGCCTGCTGCTGCCGTCTTTGCTTCTTCTTCATCTGCAAGCTGCCGGCAGGGGCTGGGCGTGGTGAGGCAGGCAAGGGGCGGCGGGCGGCGGCGGCGGGGGAGAGTGCCTGCCCCTGACCATGGGGAGTAATATCACGTGACATGACGCTTCAGCTGAAGAATCTGCCCCGCTCTTGCAAGTCAGCTGTGACTCGTGTTACGAGGACCTCTGTGGCCTGGCCACTGCTCACATGATTTCAGTCACGTGATACATGTGCAGCCAGCTGCCAGGACCTGTTAACGCCGAAGGCCAGGGGGGAAGGAGGGGCTTGCAAATTGCTCAAAGGCAGTTGGGCAGGGTGGAGGACGAATAAACTCCACATGTTTCCCTTTTCCGCATCCGATGGTCAGCAAGGCACAACATTGGAGCTCGGGCCTGGCCTGCGGGGGCACCTCTGGCCTTCTTGCCTGCAAATGGATGTCACTTGCACGGAATGGGTAGCTGCGATGATAGTGACGTCAGTGCTTTCGGGTAAAAGCGATGGGAGCTGTCTTTGCCTAGGTAATTGGCAGCAGCAGCAGAGCTCTTTGACGGAAAGCGCATCATCGTCATTATCGTGGAAACCACATTCCTGTCTCTCTCCAAAACTAATTCCCTCAACTTTTCTTCTTTTTTGCTCACACACCTACGAATTGACACCAATTGATAGGAATCAAGCCTGCAACAGTATTACTGTCATAATCAAAAAGACGACACAACGAAACAGCAACAATGGCTTCCCGCTTCGTCCTCGCTTCCGCCCCCATCTCCCGCGGCGCTTTCGTCGTCGGCAGACAGACCGCCGCCTTCTCGACGACGAGATTCATGGGCTTGAAGGAGTCTGCGAACCGTAAGTTGCCTTGAACTTTTCTTTGCGCCCCCAATCGTCTTGAGGACTGGAGAGGAAAAGAGGTGTTGCTGCCATGAAGGTGTCATGACGAAGCTACCTGCCTATGATGCCCCTCACCCGTTCACGACATCATCACTTCTTCCACAAAGCATCAAACACCCGATTCCCATTCTCAATCTGCCCTTCGTTCTTCGCTCCTTCACCAAGAAACAAGACAAGAGCTGACAGTCCCCCACAGAAACAGAGACCGACCACGAGAAGCACAAGCAAGACTCCCTGCACAAGCAGAAGCAGGGCAAGGGCCACTGGAAGCCCGAGCTCGCCTCCGACAGCGAGGAGGCCGTCAAGGCGGACCGCGCCACCGAGGGCGTCGACCCCAAGACGCTGGCGGAGCGCACCAAGAAGGCTGCCGAGGAGACGAGCAAGGCCGGTACGAGCATGCGCGACGGGTTGTAAAACAGTTGTCGAGGGAGATGGATGTTTTGTTTGCTTATCTGCTTTTTGTGATTCCAGCTTGAACTCTTTGTCACATGGCACGCTCGATGGGCACTGAACTTCGAGAGGGGTGACGGCCCTGTTTTGCCTCCTATCCCATGCCACGCGCGCAGCGGCGAACAGAACGAGACGCATAGAGTGTACAGAATCGCGTGTGGGAGATGACTGTCTGGGATTGCTGGGCTTGTTATGAAAAGATTGCATGCGGATGAGGATGGGGTTCTCGGGCCGGAGTAATTGTATGCATGTTAGGCCTGGGTCTGGAATTGATCAGTTCGAACGACGCTATGTGGTATGCTCGGTGATGTTCACAATTGTCTTGACTTGTGATGCTACCCGACATCTAGCATGTGCAGTCTCTAACTCGCCCTGCTAACAGCGTTGAACGTCAACAGCCAATGGACCAGCTATTTAAATTAGCGTACACGACGACAACCTAAGTCGAGGACCAATTCTGCGGGGAAAAAAGATTATGTTCCTGACAAACAACGCCAATCACGGTTCCCAAGATGGTATAAACTATCGCCACAAGTCAATGCCGCCAGGATGAGTCCAACTCTTGCGGCCCTCCGCTCCGCAGCCATGGTGCGCGAAGCTGGAATACACAAGCAGCAAAGCCCAGTGACGGACGGCAGCACTGACAAGCTATCTCAGCGCTCTTCAAGTGAAGGGGATGCTGGTCGTTCTCCAGTGGAGTTTCACTAGTTCTTGACACAACACGTGAAGGGTTCGACGTGGCGTATTTCGCATGGATCGTACATTATGATGTGATTATCCGCAACTTTTATATCTCCTTCTATGAAGGCGGTCTCAACTCAGAGGTTTCTTGCTGCGAATATATTATGCCCTCTGGCGGAAGATAGAGTCACTAGACGACAAACATAAGAAATTGTTGTCGTGGTTTCTGTCCTCCAACGTGACACGAGAGCTTTGAAAATCTTGTCAAGCTACACATGCCAACGACAGTCACAACTTCTCGATGGCATCGTCCGGCGATGCCGGTTCCTCCCATGCATTCCTGTAATACACGTTTTAGCTAGGTATCTTTCTTCTCAAACAGCTCCACTTCAATGACAGCCTTCTTCCCACATTCATGCGTCTTTTCTGGTAATTGCAAAAGCATCACACTCTACATCTGCTATTTCGGCCCAAACCAAAACGTGTATTTCAACGGGCTTTTATACGTTGTGGACCGATGGGTCATTGCCCATTTCGAACTCACCATTTGATGAGTCTACAAGTCTTGCTGTTCCACCCACTCAGGCTGGGACTCACTTCTCAGTTACTACAAAGCTTTTCTAGAAGTCTTCAGCTACACCTGCAGCAAACAATAAACAGCGTATTCGTACAGAGCGTTCAGAAAGTGAGCCCTTCGTCGCATGGTTGTAACATAAGTCACATTCTAGCATCAAGTCTAAGCAATGGCAATGGGTTCCTGGACACAGCCCTCGTCGCTTTCTTCCTCTTCTTATTCTCTCTGTATACACGGATGCTTCTTGTCTCATCTTATGTCTACCATGACAGACTCGCAGGTCCTCGTGCCGAGAGGAAGGGGATGTCCCGCATCAAGATATTCGCCAGATCTTTTGATGCATCACCGGCGTCTACATCGCGCAGAAGAGTATGATTGTAAATCCAGAGGTGTTTAATGCAGAGCCAGATTTTATCATGCAAGATGTGCGAGGGGTTCCTCTTCGACAATTCTCAGCGCCTGTCCTCTGGCGTCTACTCGTCGCAGCTTCAAAGCCTATATATTGAGGCTTACCAAGCTAGAACCCACTTATCCAAGCCACATAGGGGCCATTAGTATATCGTTGGTTGCCGGTTGACGATTGCTTCAGCTTTGGACGTCATGCTAAGCGAGATCAGGATACACGCCAACTACGAAATTTAGACTCTGTCGGTCGTCGTTATCGCCTTTGTCGAGTCATCATTGCGTCTCCGGAGTATCAGAACGCTGTTCAAATAACTGACCTTGTTCCCATAAGACTTCTGCTTCGGTTGTGGATTGAGATCAAGCATACGAGACGTTTCTTTTTACCTAAAGACTCAGACTTGACGACCATCCATATCTGGCATTGTAGTTGTCTCCCGAACGGATCCTGGCCTATTAAGTTTGCTGGGATGGAGCACACGCATATCGACACCACCATGCCGGAGTTCGTTTCGGCATGAGCTTTTTTCAAAACATATATATGTTCTTCCTTTGTGGAAAATCTATTTTTCTTCCAAGACAAGCACAATACTCTTGCAATCTTGTACTCTCATGTGAATGGTGATAGCTTCTAGACTGGTCATCTATCAGGTGCAAGTGGCTTAACATAGGTTGGGAGTCTTTGCAGGGAGCTTCTCATTCGACGCGTGTCTGCTCTCTGTCGTCCTTGGACATCCTTCCCTATTACGTAGCTGAATAATGCTTTGATGCTTCATAGTCACAAAACCCTCCTTCCTCGGAAATGACGAGGACGCTCTAGTGCTGAGAAGCGGTGCTATTTGTGTCTCGGTGACTTAACGGCAAGTTCTAAGACTCCATGATTGGTGGCTAAATATCATGGCATGAGAGGCATTGAGCTTTTATACTCTCGATAATGAAACCCAGGCGCCGTGTCGCTAGTGCGGGCTCCTCGCGGTATACATGGAGTCCCAGAGTCCTTCCACGTCCCCAGCATACAAAAGGAGAAGAGCGGTGTCCACGCAAGCCGAAAGATCACATCCCCATCGTACAGAAAAAAACGCAAGTCTTGTCATCC